AACCAACTCAAAACTTAGTGTTTGTACTGAGTGACGTTAGAGGTTCTGTCTTCAAAACAGAGAACACATATTTCATCATCATGAAATCCCCAACACTACTTTTACTACTTAGGCCTCTAAAAAGTTTCTGATAAGGTTCTTAAACAGTGTCCTCATTTGGGCTGGGACAGAGTTAGTTTCCTTCCTAGTAACTGGTATAGTGCTACGTTTTAAGTTTAGTATGAGAATAACGTTGATAACACACTGGTGTTTCGGATATTGCTGAGTAGTGCTTACCCTAAGCCAAGAACTTTTCAATTTCCCATGCTCTGCCAGTGAGGAGGTGCACAAGAAGCTCGGCAAGGGGGGAACATGACCAGGATAGCTGGTCTGAACAGGGCAAAGGGATATTCCATACCACAGAATGTCATGCCCAGTATATAAACTGGGGAGAGATGGCCAGAAGGGGCCAATTGCTGCTGGGGGACAGGCTGGGCATCGGTCAGAGGGTGGTGAACAGTTGTATTGTGTAGCAAACAACACAATTTTTCTTGTGTTTTATTCCTCTCTCTCTTTTTGTTCTCCCTCTCTTAATTACTATTACCATTACCATTAGATTTTACTTTATTTCAAATATTAAATTATTCTTATCTCAACCCATAGCTTTATGTTTTTCAGGTCTCCTCCCCATCCCACCCCGGGGACAGGGGGGAGTTGGAGTGACAGAGCAATTGTGTGGTACTTAGTTGCCAGCTGTGGCTAAACCACTATAAATAGTCAAGCAATGATAATACTGTAACCATAACGATGCTGCTAATGCAAGTGTGATATAACCATCAAGGCTGTGTGATGGTTTTGCTGGCATAAAACCTCCCTATTAACATGATATTTAACATAATGGGAAAAAATGCAGGAAAATTAAGAAGAATTGTCAGAGATACATTACTCGTGAATCTGATACATTATTGCCTCAGGTAAGTACAGTTCTGCAAGGCTGCCTGATGACTAGACAGGAAGCAAATTAAAACACATCCTCTTTGAAAATGCAAGAAGACCTCTGCTTCCCTAGTGGGGTTGTTATTATCAACCTGAAGAAACACTTTTTTGTTTTAGCTGGAGAATTTTTGTTGTTGTTGGTTTGTCATTTGTGTTGGCTGTTTTTTTGTGGTTTTTTTGTTTGTTTGTTTTTGTTTGTGGTTTTTTTTTTTTTTTTGCTTTACAAAGCTGATAAAGGTTGACTATTAATTAGTTATGATATTTACTAACTGGCACCTGATGGTTTTGTAGGGTTTAGGGGGTTTTTATGTCAGTTGGAGGAATGATGAATAATATTTCTCTTATAATGTTATCAAAGTTCTTGTCAACTTTGTTGAGTGTGAGAAAGTGCCTCATGAGGCTATAAGAACCTTCAGAAATGGAAGAAAATGAGCTGAGATGATACAGGGGATTTAATTTTCAGTCTAGGAATTGCATTTTCCTCACAGGCAGTTTTTTGTAATTTTCATGAAAACGTTTTCCCTTTGATACACATGTATATAGATTCCTGGAAAACAATGTTGTTTGCAACTTTCATTACGTAAGCATCAGCAGAATTTTGGCTATTAATAATGGAGGTATTGAGCTGCATTTTACTCAGAAAATGCCTAATGACAGGTTAGATGTTCAGACCTAACCATATACCATACCTGTTTTTCAGATTGTCATATGAAGATAAAACTCATAAAGAGATTTTCAGAGACGGTAAATGGATAAATGTCGCCCTGAAACAATGACAGAGATGAATCACAGCACACAAACGAGAATGCCTTTCCAAATATAGTCAACTGAATACTAACTGTCTTCATATGTCATTTTTATATAACATTGAACCATAAAGTTCAGTTACAACTTAATTATAAATCAAAACTGTAATACCATATTTTCTTGCTCAGTTGGAGGGGGGAAAAGGTAACAAAGTAGGCTTTCACCATGGAAAAAGCTGTGCAACACGGAAACAAGAAGTTCTTGCTAGAGCAGCACAATGTAACTTCCAGTGTCAGCAGCTGGTCAGTCCTCACAACCTAGCAAGGTAGGGAGGAAGGCTTGTGGCAAACTGCTGAAGAAAAAAACTACTGGGACAAAAAAGCCACTATTGTCCAAGTTGAAACTGAATTCTTGTTCCAGGGAAAGAGGAATATAATGAGAGGGAGAGGGACAGAGAAGCAGAGGGAGAGAAAGAACAGGCATGAGAGCCTTGAAATACAAGACTTCAGGTAAAAACAAGAATTTAAACACAGAAGCCATCGGGTACCTCTCTCCGACCGATCCTCCCTTACCGAGCCCCCTTCGCCACCAGATGGCCCCGTAGGAACGCGGATGATAATTGGTTACTTGCTTAAAAGACTTGGCGAGTTTCAATGTCTAATTTCCACCGGTGCTAGCTGCCAAAACGGAATCCAAACAAAACAAAGCAAAAAAGAAACGACCAAAAGCCTGGCCTCATGGGGCTGGAGAGTCTAAACAGGTCCAGGTTCAAGATCTTGGATTAGAATCCACATCTCACATCCTGGAATGTTTGCATGGAGTATCGTGGTTCAGTTTTTAAATCGCAGTAGGTGACACACTCATACAAAGGTTGACATTGAATTGACAGTGGGAATGGGAACTTAATATGTGACATACCTAAATTCATACTTTCAATCTACGTAGCACTTTAAACTCACAAAATACGAAGTTTATTAGAACACAAACAAGGATAAAAACAAAGCAAAGCAAACAGGCATTGCACTACTCTTGATGAAGGCTGCAAGACCTAAATTCATATAAAGAATTTGTAGAACAGTTCACAAATTAAATAAGTGGTTGAAACAGCTATTTCAGACCTATTTTTTATGTATATTATGTATATTATTACTATTTTTATTCTCATCAACTCCCAAAATTGCAATTTTTCTGAACTTGTTTCAGATACAAACAAAGTCCCAAAACTGGAGTAGAATGAAAAGCCTTTGCAGAGGCTGTAAAAAATGCTGACGTAGCACGTGGTCAGCTGCCAGCAGTGAGACAGGATACTCCTGAGTGTCCTGTGGTGTGTAAACCACAGCAACAAGAACTGAGGACACAAATTTCAATGTTGATATGGTATCCAGCTAAGTGGGTGTAAAACATCATTGTGGGCTCTTTTACCACGTAAGCATCCCTGAGGACCAATCTTAAAGAATCTCTGAGGTATCCCTCCCTGTGATTCCTATTTGCTGTGTAAGGTGCTTTGAATGCTCTGGATGGAAACCTGCACAAGGAGTTTAGCAGCTATCACTGTTTCCCTTCTGGCTGTGGTGTTGGTAACCTCCAGCACAGTGACCCCCATGCGTACACTCGGTCCTGACCACAGCACCATGCCCAGCTCTGGGAGCTCAGCTCAGGGGCACAATCTTAAGCTGGGCCATGGGAGGTTTAGGTTAAATATTAGGAAGAAATTTTTTATAGAGAGAGTAATCAGACATTGGAATGGGCTGCCCAGGGAGATGGTGGATTCACCATCCCTGGGGGTTTTTAAGATGAGACTGCATGTGACACTTAATGCCGTAGTCTAGTAACTACGGCGGTGTTGGATCAAGGATTGGCCTTGATGATCTCAGAGGTCTTTTCCAACCTGGTTTATTCTACGATTCCATGAAGTGTTCTAGGAGTGGTGAGCACAGGTGAGGTGTACATGAGTAGTGCTGAAATGGTGCTGAGCCAGTTCCTTTTCACAGACCTGATCCTGTGATGTGTCACTCATTTTTGCTCTGCTGATTCATTTGGAATTTTATTCTCAGTATACTGACTGAGATTTATGATCACTGGAGCTTTTTCCTTTAAAAATAGTTCTTACTAGAAGCAGCATTTTAACTGCCCACCTGTGTACATTTGATGCCTGGTACCTGATATCTAGAGGTACTTCCTGAAATTTCAGACACTTCTATCAGGTAAATTCTATGCGTGTTTTGATTTTATTTGGTTTACATTGATTCATGTAAGTTATATAATTTGATAACTTTTTAGTTTTTAATAAACCATGATCTAATTTATAATTCTGGAAGGAAGGTAGGTAAAAAATGCTGTGACAGGAAGAAATCATATCAGGCCCACAGCACAATCACAGAGCATTAGTGCCTTTTCCTTTTCCTGTTTCCTTTTGGTTTTCTACCCCTATGACAGACAAGTCAAGAAAATTGGAGACCATAGAGCTAAAAGCTTTTGACTTATTAACACTGAATGCAGAAATAGAATCACCTTCTAGTTGTGAGCAACTGCTGTGGAAGAGCAAATGCTCAAAATTTCATTGCTCACACCTTTTATTCTGTTCACAGCTGTCCCACTTTGGGAAGTTCTCTGAACAAGAAACCACTAATCACAGTTTACCCGTTAAGACTCAGATTCAAAACTGTGAAAAATGATGACTGGTTATGGGCAGAATCATCATTTTTAAGTGGTGACATGGTCTCCATTGCTGACATACACTGATCAGCTGTCAGATCTTGTATACTTTCATAAAGAAAGAATGATGTCAGGTTTGTGGATACCTATCATAAAAGTATGTGTGAGGATTTCCATAAGAATGGGAAAGGTCTCTCTTATTTTCTCACTGCTGACAGATTTGTAGGAAAGATACGAGATTGACCTTGCAAGATTTCTTGTGTCTCTTCCTTTTTCCACTTACTTCCATTCCAGCTGGAGCACACATTAGCGTTTGCTAATTCTTTCTATTCTTTAGAAGTCCTGTGGGACAGATATTAATATAGCAATTATATTAATATAGCTATATATTATTATATTAAATATTATATTGATATTAATATACTATTGTATTAATAGATATTAATATAGATATTAATATAGCATATTAATATAGCATATTAATGTAGCAAAGCAGAGCCAAGTAGTTTTGTATTTATTGTTGTCTAATAGTGTGTGGCCTATGTTATGATTTGACAGAACAACTTTGAGATTGGTTTCTTTTTTAAACAGATGTTATTGAGAAAGATGAACAAATAGATTAATGTGTTAAGACACTACAGTTTATTAAGGTAATTAGCAATAAAACATAACAATGGTCATATCACAGGCATATAATAATAAATCAGAAGATGAATTATGGCACTCCCTACACCTTTAAATCCACCCCAGGATCCCTGAGCCTCACCACGCTGCCTACACCCTTGCTCCCAGCAGCAAGCACCCATTTTCCTCTCAGGAAAACATCACCTCAGAGTTAGCATTCAAAGGAAAGAAGTTCCACTGGAGGTTCTTCTCTGAGCAAAAGCCAGCAGGGAGCTCAACTTAGTTTAGAGCCTTGTTCTGGGCAGTGCATTTCTAGGGAAAACAGTACAGGAAATCTCTCTCCCAGGCCACAAAGAGACAGTCATGTTATAATTTTCATCATAATGTTTACAGGTGTCTTGCAGGTGTCTACAAGTGGGCTGACTAGGACAATGCCCAGAGCCAACATCAATTTTTATTACATTACAATATCAAGAAGGCATTTTTTTTTCTATTTTCCAACAGATATCAACCCATTATTCTCATTTTGTTACTGTTGATAATCCACAATTTATACCACTCTTGTATGTTGTTGTTTCCTAAAACTGTTGTTATATGTGCACACATGCACACACATGTCCTCTGCAGTTATTTTTTTGTTCAGAGCCACACCAGCATTACAGCAGCCAGTGATTCAAGGCAACATGCTACTTATAGTTTCCTATAGGCAAATGTCAAAACTCAAAGGCCCTTGTGAATAGCTACACAGATTTTTCTGCTTCAGTAGATACACTTTTGCTACTGACTAGCACTTGTGAAGAATGAATTAGCCATCAGTTTTCTGTCACCGCTGAGGGAAGAATATGTGATCCTGTGTGAAAGAGGAAATAAGAATAGAAAGCCACTCACATCTAACAGCAAGAAACTGGAGGGGGGTGTGAACACTAGAGTGCTGATAGCAAAGACACCTATCAAACTCTGTCAGTATAATTTCTTCAGAGTTTTCCTAGGCTGGCTGGTGGTTTCAGAAAACTAAAATATTTTTAGATATACTTACAGCTTCAGATAGAGCCCTGGAGGGCTCTACCATGTAGAAGTGAGTTACGAAGCAAATCTTATTCCCCTCTATCTCTGCATGATCTGTCAAACAAAGCAGGAGAAGCACGTAGCTGGAGATGGTTCTAATTCAGGAAAAAGAGAGAGAGTTCATCTTTCTGCATAGCCTTAACTTTGATGAGAGTAATTTCCAACTTCCTCTGCCTCAGCAAAACTAGAAAGTAAAAAAAAAAATCTACGTGAACTACAGGATTGCCAGGGTGTCATGACTAATCCAGTATCAGGGGATACTAGGGCTATGGGAACACCAAATATGGTGGTGGTGGGTGCAAGATCCAGAACCATGAATCATTCTTCATAAAATTGTTGGTCTTCTTACTTTGGATCTCTCCTTGTGCCAAGGCTCTTGCTGACAAAGAGGAGTTTGACTCTCAAGCAGATTATGTCTTATTTTCTATTAAAAAAATTAAAATAATTTGTATAAAAATGGTGTTCTAAAATATTCATTGTGAAACAACATCCTTCCCATGTCTCTTACAAATGGACCAAAATCTATCATTTTAAACATGAATCAAATGTATGCCACTAATGATCAACAGGAAGACAATAATTTCATAGGTAAAGTACTGTATGGTACAAGAGATCATGGCAGGGATTTTTTATAAGGGTGTTTAGGATGATACACCATATCTACAAACTCCAGGAAAATCTCAGCAGCAGTCAGTCATCAACCCACCTATCAAGCACCTTTGAGGACAAGTTCAGCCCATTTTTGTACAAAGGAAACTGTTCTTTGTTTAACCTACATTAGTCATTCAGGGAAAAATAATCCTCAAATTTCGTAGTATAGTTGAACAAAAAAAAATCCATTTGATACAATTTTTTGATCTTCTCAATTTGTTTTGAAGTCAATTGGCGGAGATACTCCAAGGTGATATCACCATTAGTTCGTTTCTCTGACCGGTATCTCTTCAGGCTGGGGTATTGCATGCTCTCTGGTGCTCCAATGACCTTCAGAACATGCTCAGAGTCTAATCCAAGAGTTTCATACTTACCCAGAACATCATAATCAATGTTGCAAGGATTGCAGAGCAGAAACATTGGTTTCCAGTGAATGTCAAGAGCATTTGGTGGTTTTGTTAAAATGAAGCTGACAAATTCCTGGAAACTCACTTTTTCAGAAGAATTTTTGTTTTTCCTGAACATTGTCCTAATCTCATTAGCAACAGCGATGCTGTAGAATGGCTCAGAGTGCAGAAGTTTGTCTCTATAAGCTGAAACCAGACGTTCCAAGGGATGTCTGGTGAACATCACTTTGGTGTAATTGCTTAGAAATTCCTTTTGTCTGGCAGGAGGATAAGACCCCAACCTTTTGATCGCTGACGTTTGGTGGATGTGGTTGTGCTCAATTTCGGAAGCTTCTGCATTCAAGTCTGATTGGAGAAGAAAAATAGTTCTCTTCCAGTTGGAGCAGCCTACCTTGGGCACCTCACAGTAGATAAATTTATGCTTGTGCTCCACAAAGAGCTGGTTTGCAACACCCAATGTGCTTTTTAATTTAGTAAGGTTGTTCTTCAGGCAGACAGAAGCCAGTGTGCTTTTGCGACCATTTTGAATTGCCACCCAATTTTCATCAGGATGGGGAAAAGCACCTGCAATCAAGGAAGAAATTTAAACTATTTCAGTGAAATAAGCTTATTTGAGTCTCTTTATTTGTGATAATCATAGCACTCAATCTATCACCCTGCTTACAAAAACTAAAGAAGATGCTAAAATCAATTTTTTGTTTACTGTCACTGGTCTCCACTATGGCAAACATGCAATAAACTATGCTATGCAGTGAAAAGTTTATTAAAATGAAAACTTTCAACATGTTAGCACTATTAGTCTAAGCAAGTCTGATGTTCTAACATCATGGTTTTGTAGTGTTCTTTCTCTCATACGTTGCTGAGATAGCTATCACAGTGACAGGGCCTTGGATATTTTCGTAGTATTGTTTGTCACTTAGGCTCCATAGTTACTTTCTAACACATTTGGCAAAGGTGTCCCTGCTTCTATAAAACATGAGGTCTTATTGTTGACAATTTCTTTACTCACCTGTTATGGGTTTTTGTCTCTTATAGAAAAATCCAAAAAGAAATATCCCAAATATAAAATTTGGGAGAAGGAAAACTAACACTTTCTGGTTCATATTATTTTCACAAGATGGAGTATGGTGTGATCTCTAAAGTGGAAATCTGTCTTTCTGTCAACAAGGAAAGATAATACAAGTTAGACTTCATATGACTGATATAACAAAGATAACGTAATTAATTTACAGATTTATGATAGCAGAAGGACCTTTAAAGCCTTATAAAAATAGGCTTTGTTAATAAGTAAAAATTCTCTTATGGAAGAGACTCACCACAATTACACTGTTAAATCAAACAGACAAATAATATGACTCTTTCATTATGTTCCAAAGTTCACCCCTTTCTCAGAACGATGGCATGTTTATGAGCAATTATTTCTCCCTTCTTCTCTTTTAAAGCTGTTGTTTAAAGCTGCCATGCAGACTCTCTATCCTTTCACACTGGGCAACAATATCTTCATTTAGGACTACAGAGTCATACTTTTCTTATAACCTTTAGAATCTGGGAATACAAAGTTCTCTATAACCTGTGACAGGCATCTCTGGAAAGCCCATGACACCTTCAGAATGAGTTTCTTTCCATCTATTTCCCTGAAGCTTTTGACTTTGTACAAATAAATCAATATTCACTGCAGGAGAAACTCTTCTCTATTCCTCCAGAGAATCCTAACAACAATGGATGAATTCTCCCATTCTATTTCTCCAAAGGCACTGCATCATATATATGTTTGTGCCATTGCTGCTGCAGCACAAGAGCCCCAAAATTATTCATATGACAGGAAACACACAGAAGCAGCAGAGAAAACTACAGAAAAGTTGGTTTTCTGCGTTCACAGATAAAAGAGAGAAGGCAAATGCAGTCCAATATGACATATTCCCTGTCCCGTAATCACTTATTCTGTCTCCTTGCACTTCATGAATAGAGACCTAAGTTCTCTGTGCAATCTTACTCCATTTCCCCCAGTAGAAAGCTCTTCATCATTGTGCTTTCATTTGAAGTTGCAAAATTAAGTGAGAAGCAATAACTGCTGGCAAATGTGACATTCTCTTTCTGTCCCACAAAGTCTGCACCATCAAAAAAAGCCAAGCAACACTGTCTTCATTTTTTTCTTTTCAATTTTTCACCCTGAATCTGCTGGCAATAAAAACATCCTTGCCTGGATTTCTCAAGGATGCAACTTAATTTTTTTCAAATTTTCATATTTTGTATTTTTTTTACAAGATACAATAGGATCATTTTGGAAGTTATTTGTGTGCCACCAGTGTGTCGATGTACATAAACCCCAGCTGCCATAAAGGCAACTGGATTCCTGTATGTTCTGAGACAGCAGAAGTGTCAGCACTACTTAAATTGCTGAAATTGTACTTACACACAAGGCTTCTTCTTTTCAGGGCTGACAGGTGATTATAACACACATCTGTACCAGAATATCTGCACTCATACAGTTACCAGCACTACTGATAACTAAATCTCTGTTAGTGTAGGCATGACCTGAGGAATGAAGGGGGATGAATGTTCATTATCTCTATATTAAAAATGTACTTGTATTTACATTAAACTGTTACAATACTCACTCAAATTAATGCAGTATTCTTACACGTAATGGTACTTGGCCAATATTGTTTCGTTTTCATGGTTGCGTAAGACCATTGTAAGGGCTGCAAGAAAAATTATGGGAAGATCTTCTTCCTTTAACCTTTTCTTCACTGCACATCAATTCTCACTTCACAGTGAGATCCATTGAGTGCTAATACATCAGGGGCTGTTTTCAAGGCCAGTTAAGTCAGTCACATTGTTCATTGACCTCATGAGATTGAATGTTTCCCTTTTGTTCTTTTTGAGAAGCATTTTAAAGACACAATTTCACACTGTATAGCAATTAAAATAAATATGACACCAAATAATTCTGTACAGGGACTCCTTGTTAGAGTATGCTTAGAAGAGATTGGGCTTCATTCACTTTAAATGCTATCACCTCAGAGAAGTAATTGTTATCATACCTGTTTCAGGAGTCAGAAAATGAACAGGATTAATTTTACCCTAATTAGATACTTGTATCATATGTATTTCCTAATTACACTACTGGTAGAGAATATAAGGTCTTCCATAAGACATATTTCACATTGAAACATGTCAATGAGTCACAAGAGGGAAATAGGAGAGACTTACTTCCTTGGGGGAAAGAAAGTGTTTAGGAGATTGTATTGGGTCTGGCTGAGCTGGAGTTCATTTCCCCACAGTAGCCCTCACAGTGCTGTGCTTTGCACTGGTAGCTAGAGGAGTGTTGATAACACACTGGCGTTTTGGCTACTGCTGAGCACAGCACCAACACTGTAACATTCCTTCCTCAGTGGAGGGCAAGATCCTGGGAGGGGACCCAAGTAGGCCAGCTGACCCAGACTGACTAAAGGGATATTCCAGACCATGTGACATCAGCCCAGATATAAAAGCTAAGGCACAGAACAGGAGAGGGGGCATTTGTTGTCTCCAATGGCTGCCGACTGAGGAACCATTACATGTGCTGAAGCCCTGCTGCTCGGGAGTGGCTGGACATCGCTGCTAACGCGAAGTAAAGAATAAATCGTGATATCTTTTTCTTCACTTCGCTTTTGCACACTCAAGCTTCTGCTTTACTTTTGCTTTAAATAAACTGCCTTATCCCAACCCACGAGTTGTTGTGGGTTTTTTTCCCCACCTTAGTCTCTCCCCTGTCTGGCTGGGAAGGAGAGTGATAGAGCTGAGTGGGCACCTGGTGTCCAGACAAGGTCAACCCATCACAGAGCTAGTTAAACTCCTCTTCTAAGACTTATGCGTATTTGTGGAAACAAAAGAATCTTTAACTTAATTCAGTATGGTCAGATCATAAGGAGCTCCAAGATGACAGGTGAAGTCTGTCTGGACTCCTTAGAAAACTTCAAATGCAGACTCATAATAAGAGTGCCCTGAACAGGTGAGGTCAGCATGCAAGTTCAGTAAAGCTACCTTATGGTGAAGTCCAAAGGCTTCTTCAGAAGATGTTTTCTGATGGGAGAATCCAGTGTGGAGTTCTGTGTAATGCAAGGTTTCCAATGATGAAAATCACCTAAGAGAAACCTGAGGAATAGGAGGAAAGAAATTTCTGAGCGCCATTTTGTCAGAAGAGGGACAAGTCACCTGGAAATTCAAAAGGAGGGTAAAAAATCCCAAACAAAAAGCACTTTTGTCAGTAGGTGTCAGTGTCAGTAAATCAGATTAACTCTTCCTTCAGCCTGTTATGTCTTTTCAAGATGCTTTTAATTGTATTTGCTATTTTAAATGTAATGATGTAATGCAAATTTCTATTTGTATTTTACCTCATCCTACCTTGAATTAAGTGTGATTTTAGGTAACTACAAGGCATTCCTAAGTCAAGGAGAGGTGAGTCTATTAATACAAAAACTCCATACTAAATAGACTAATTCTGCTGTAACCAAAGGGCAGCAGTATGGGCTTCCACAGGCAAAATGGAAAGACAGTACGCTAAGACTCAAAAAAACCCCAACAGAAACCTCTTCTAGTGGAAAGTAACAAAGCAAGGAGACAGGAATCTAACTGTCTCTTTGGAACTAACATAACCCCAGAGGAGAAAATGCTAAAAACTAAATATAAGGCCTTAATTTTCTTTGTTCTTGTTACACATAGTTGGGGTGGGGGGCAAGGGTAGATTATTGAAGAAGGAAATGCCAATCATCTCATGCACGTGCAAGATGGGGGAAAAGGCTTGAAGCCTGACTTCCAATTTTCTTTGCACTGCTGATAATTCGACCATCTCCCTCTACTATTCCATTGCTAATTTTCTTCCTAATATACATACTCCTTGTGACAAAACCAAAAAAATTGTATCCTGCTGTTCATATCTTTGTTCTCAAGTTTGCTGTCCATAAAATATTCTTTCCATCCTTCTGTTTACTTCAAGACATTCCTGACAAACCTCTGCTTTTAACTACTTTCAACATCTCCCTTTTCTATATGCTACACTGGCTATGGAGGAGTGGCTGGCAGCCTGCTTGCACATCCCCTGTATGTCAGGCTAGATGGTTTGACTCAGAAGAGCTATCTCAATTAGGATATTCTACTTTTCCAGGAGTCTCACAAAATGTGCTGGAGTTACTGGATATGTTTTTCTGTTACATTTCTTTCTCTTGGTTCATTTGTCTCATACTTGATTTACATTTGTAATACTAAACCTTCTGCAACAATCCCACACATCTGTTACTGGTCTGGATTTTACCTGTTTGACCTTATGTTGCTACATCACAACCACTCACCCAACCATCAGCTTTGGGTTTGTAATGCATTCCTTTTCCCCTGACCAAAACAAGGCCTGATACAGCACCTTCAGTACTATTTGAAATAGGAAATATTTAAACAGTGATAAGTGATAAAGTCATTTAATGATAAAGTCATGTGAGTACACATCTGAGCACTTCACACTCAGATTAAAATTCTTCCTTCTGCCATGAAGATTTACTCCTAGTGCAGGCACCAAAGGAATAGATTCCATTGCCTTGAACAGTTATCACTGGTACTTTGTTCTGTCTTTGACTTGCTGAAACAATGATTGATAATATAGCATTCTCTCATAATATAGCATTCCCTAATCGTTCTCCTGGAACTGCTGAACCATTGCAAGTGAAAAATCTGCAGTATTTAAAGAAATACTAAATAAATAAAAAAAACAGACTGAAAAAACAATATTTTGATACTTTTATAAACAATAAGAAGTATTATAGCTGGAAGTATTGCATATTATTAAGTCTTTCTGTATGACCCCTATTACCCAAGTACAGAAACATATGTACACACATGTGTGTACATATATATATACACAAGCATGTGTGGTTCAGAAACATTAATATCAGTTACACTGGCATATTATTTGCTCAAAGTAAACTAACTAAGTAGGTCGATAAGGTTTTAAAGTCTCCTGGTGATAAATTTACAAAGGTGTGTCTCAAACTAATTTTTCACAGACAGACCTTGGTCAGAGCTGAGCATGCGGGGTGATCCTCTGCACCCTACTTGATGATAAGTGGGACTTCCCAGATTAAAAGAATGAAATTACAACAATACTTATTTGTGTTCCTGATATATTTGAAGCCAGAAGTAAAAAAAAGGTACTAGTAGGGCAACTCAGTGGAAGGTAGGGAAAATGTCTGGAAATAGATAACATTCTCAGTTGCTGAGCCCCTTTCTGTACTTAAGCTCGGTTAATCCCTTCAAAAAGACAACTGTAAATACATACATACTGATATGTGTATGAGTACATAGAAGGTGAGGAGGGGATGACATGTAGAAACCTGTTGGGGAGCCCAGCTGGTTCTGGGCTCTCAGTAAACTGAGATACTGAAGATGGAGCTTCTTACACCTGGCAGAGGGTTAACCACGGACAGTAGGACTGTGACACAGTGGGTTTCCTGTGAGGAATGTCAGCCTATTGTGTTAGGACATGTGGCTGTATGTCCAATCATAAGTTGTTATGATAGTGGTAAACCAATGCTGTGTGTACATGTGTCACCCAGAACTGTATAAAGGTAGCTGTACTGTTGCAATAAAAAAGTTGCTGGTATCATGAAACCCATGTCGCCTCCCCGCCTCGACCGCGACAGAAACCCCCCAGGAGTAGCCATAATAAAGAATGACCAGGAAAAACAAGCTCTGCTGGATGCAGTTCTGCGTGTGCTGTTGTATCAGGGTGAATTACAAGAGCAAGACCCTTGCTCAACCAAATCTGCATCCCCCTTGTTTCTGTACGATTTGTGATGGATGGATAAGAGGGAGGAAGACCCCAGAAACTTAGCAGCCAGGCTGTCTTGGCCCATGAAGTAGAAAATCACGAATGGATTAGGAACCTCAAGCAGGTTGCAGACAGTCATGGGTTAGAAGAACCCTTGTCAACATTTTGTCAACAAGAGACAGGGTCTGACATCTCATTTGCAGTAAAGGCTAAAGGTGTTAGGTAAGAAAAGGTACAAGCTTAGACAACATATGAGCTAGGCTGGGGGCTACTGAGGAAAGGATTGACAAGGGTTTCCTATAGAAGACCACACTTAGAGCACTGAGGTGGGTACAAAGTCACAATTTCCCTTAGACAGCACAAGCTAAAACTCTTGTTCTGTGCAGTGGTCATCTCAGCCCTCCATTACTGCATCAGATTTCTTTCTGGTCTCAGCAACTATAGTGCTATCTTCCTCATTGCCATTGGTAATCTGCTTGCTATTCTTATTACACCATATCTTATGCCTGTCTTTTAGTTTCTTCTCTATTTCATTCCATGTCATCTCCTTGTCTTGCCTTCCAAGATTTTTCTTTATCTGTCATTTCTCATGCAGGGTTAAAAGCTCAACTTTACCTTCTCATCAGTCCTACTGCTAGTCCCTGCTACCATTAGCCCCTGTTAACAAACAAATAGCTCCTACTTTCTCCTCTGCTGCCCTTGTATTTTGGATGAAGTTTATGAAGCACTTCTAGAGCCATTACATTTTTCACCTAAAATCACCTAAAAGTCTTCCTTTTCAGGGATGCCAACACCAGTTAGGGTGCCAGTGTACTAAAACTGTTACCAACCAGCCCACAAAAGAGCAAGCCAAAGGAAGAGTCAATTTGGGTATGAAAAGAACGAAAGTGAGGAGAAAAAAAAGGGAAAAGGCAGCACAGAGTCTAACAGAAAAGCTCCCAGAGAGAGACAGGAAGCAGCAATCAGAGGAAAAGTAGCAGAGCTGGGGCCAAGAGAAATAGAAAGGCTGTGTAGTTAGCTCTGAAAACATTGTGGAAAAGGGAAGTTGAGATTTGGACTGAAAAAGACAAAAAGTATAATTCAGTGAAGTGAAGGTGGAGAAGAACAAATTCAAAGAAATGAGTATAGAAAGGAATATGCAAATTATCCAGTAAATTACCACAGTCGTTTAAAGAGGAATGAGATTATATACACTGCAGTCACTCCTACACTTGAACCCAATCCTTACTGTGTGATCAAACTTGTCTCTCTTTTTCTTCCTGTAGCTGTAGCCAGAAAGGCCATGGATTTTTGATTTCCTATATATACCAGTGATTTTGTGTCTGCTCCTTTACAGAAATAACCTACTTGCCTGAAACATCCTGACACTTACTGACAAACTGTGTGTAGACCTTCTTTTCTCTTCCTACATGAATCTAGGCCTATTTTTCCTTTCCTTTTTGCTCTCCACTGTATTACAGGGCAAGCTGTTCAGCAGAAGTTTAATGCTTAAAGTCTATTTTTATGAAACATGTGTTTACATCATGCTATGGCACATGCAGTATCAAACATCAATAAGTTTGGAGACAGTAGGATTAAAGTGGTGAGCTAAATCATACAACATAAGATGAAGTAGTGCTGGCTTTTTGCAAAAACAGTCTTGAAACTAAAGACCTAAAATTTCAACTATTTGATGTTTCAATACACTGTAAGTTCAAAGTAGTCTTACTGATTCAGTTACAGATAGAAATGCTCAAAAGATCTGCAAATCTGGTTTCCAGAGCCTGCTCAAGTTCCCAAAAAATGGAGAATGGACAGTCAATGAGTCTCTGAAAAGGTGGGTGCCCCACATGGGATTATTACAGCAAACAAAGAACACAATGACTCATCCTTCATACCATTCATGTGGTATCATAACAACATGCACAAAAATCATTCTTAGTGGTGAATCATTCAGCTCCCTTGACCAACCTTATGATATCCACTCTAATGGAATAACCCATGGTGGCAGCAGGTTGCTATCTCCTGAACAAACCCAGCATCAACAGTGACAAGACCCAGTATTACCTGCTGACACCAGCAAAACAGTGATATGTAGGATGCCATTCCTGACACTGAAGGAGAATGGTCCCTAGCACAGCTTGTCCTTGCCTCCCCTGCTCCCACGATCAGCATGGGCTGCCCAGAATCTTTCACTCCTGTTACCATCAATTCCACCTCCTTGCACTCCCCACCCCAGGAGCACTCCAACACTGTTTCACTCCTGCTGAACATATATTTGCTTGGGCACCAGAGCTCTTCCCTTAGCCCCTGTCTCAGCTGTGACTTCTTCTTTCCCAGTCCCTGCTTCCACTTCTCAGGCAAAATTTTAACCCAGTCTCCAGCAAATCCTCACCTCACTTCCAAAAGCCTTCCTCATATCATCCCCAGGCAGCTTGCCCAGCAAATCCTGTTTTCCAGCTTCCCAAACACCCATTAGATCTCACCCTGATTCTGCTGTTCAGTCTTCTTCATGCACAAGCCAGCTCCTTGCTGGCTCCTGCTGCCAGACTCCTCCCTTAGTCTCCTCAGTCAGCCTCACAGCCCCCTACACCAACCACGCTTCCGAGTCCAGCTCATCAGAACGGTCTCTCCTTCTACTTCCAAGCTTCCCACGCAGCCCCACTGCTTCTTGCTCTCACTTCTCCTCAGCTAGTCCCAGGCTCTGCACTTCAGATCCTATAGTTATTTTGGTATCTCCCAAACTAAACTGACACATTTTCCTTTTCTTTCCCTCCCACATCAATTTTCACACCACTCATGAAGGCACAGTTTCTTCCTGCTGATTTTGTTCTCTGAATCCGTTTTGCCAGTGATCCTCAACAATTTTTCCTCAAATGTCTTGCTCATGCTTGCCTTGTTATCTAAAAGGGATGGTTTACTCACTTGTGCAATCTCAGTCCAGTAGAAGTTTCACTGAGTATGTACAGGAGGAAGCCTCTTAACATCATTTTTCAAATGCTTATTTCAAAGCCTGTAACGTACCCGAACTTCTTAGAAGAAAGGTCACTGGAACCATTTAAGATGAGAAAAAAGAGGACATATTCCCTGTATAAAAGTCTATAATCTACTTCTGCTCAAAGGTTTTTAAAAATATCCCGAGGCAGATATCTAACCTGAAAAAATTCTGCTGAAATGTTTGAAATTTGACAAAATCCTATATAGCTGCAAACTGTATGGACATTAGAAGAGTCAAGATGCATATCACTCTTAACAAAGCCAGAAACTGAATGAAAGCCTTTGTCACTTCATTTCAGGCACCAGAATCCCTGTAGCATCAACTTCTTAACTTATGAAAGATATTGCAGTGAATAATAGACTGCCAAAAAATCCTATATAGATTCATTTCATCATGGTGTTATTTCAAAAGCTAAACAGTGTCTCCGTTTATTTCTTGAAAGATTTGATGACAATTTCTTAGAATATAAATAAAAAAACCTCCCAGCAATCAGCTCTGACAAAGAAATCTCTCTTTGCAGAGATTCGCCTACACTTAGAAAATCACAGTGACATGAAAAGCTACTAACAATCCAATTTTACTCACCAATCAGTGGAGATTTCCCATTCCTCTGAGTGACGGTAAATAGGAAATAAAGATTCAGACAAGGAAAGATCAATCCAGAGAGACACATTATTTTAATTTTATGCATAGGTCTGCAAAGGAAATAGGGGAAAGGCTTTGTCTTCTCCTTACCTGGACTTCAAGGCTGGGCACAGATGCTTTCACAGGAGAGCATCTGAAACATTCTGTACACATAATATTTGTCTTGGTTTTGATTAAATGCCCAAGAAAAAGGTGCCAGTGTTTTCCTGTGAGTGTTTAGGTGAGCATCTCCAGTGGCACGTTACAAACCAATGTGCTGTGTCTGTCTCTAGGTATAACGAGCAGCGTTTAACCACTCCCTGCGTATGGTCTACAGCAGCTGTTAGAGCCTGCCAAGTGCTTCAAGAGCAGCCTGCCAACAGGCTGCCTTGCTAAGCAACCAAGAAAGAGGATGGTCGGGAATACGAGGGCGAAGGTAACTTGTTTGAGGGTAACTGTGATAATATATACTATTTTTATAGATGAAAAGCAAGAGGCAAGATGAATTCAAACCCAGCGGACTCTATACAAGAAGGCTCCACTGAACCCTGGGAAGTGGAAGGTAAGTTCTCATGGGAAAAATGGCTAAAGCAGAAGGAATTCAGTAGAGCTGGCAGTTCCCTAAAGAAATTATGTTTACGGTACAAACACAAACAATTCCACACATTCGGAGGACAGGAAGTATAGTCAGAGATCAACTTGGCTAAGCAGCACTGCCTTCAATGACCAAAAACACAAGAAAGAAATGTACAGAAAGTGGAAATCAGGTCAAACTCCTAAGGACAAGTATGTAAGAATAACATAAGATGCTGAAACAAAGTCATAAAGGGTAAAGCACAGATTTAACTGCAAAAAACCAACGAATATGAGAAATAGCAAGAAAACTAATCTGGCAGGAAAAGAAAAACCTAGTGATAGGTCACTTACAGAAGGCTGCAGTTTTCCTTAACTCTTCACAAAAGGATGAACTGTAATTACATGACTAATAAGTAAATTCTGTAAGGAAGAATCTATCTAAAATAGGAAAGAACAGAACTGAAAATAATTTGAAAATACTGCAGTTCACCTCATCCTCAAGTATATCTCTACAGCCTCTCTCCAGAACTCTCTAGTAAGTGCAATAAGTCTCCCTTGACTGAGATAGGAGCTTACTCCTCTGCACAGGTATAGGCAGCTAAAAAGGTGAAATGAGCTCTATACATGGTGAGAAATGCACATTAGGATACCTTGTGATGGAGAGAAACAAGCTCAGATCTGTTAGCTGCATCCGAAAACTCTCAGAAGTTGTGTGAGAAATGTGTGAGGAGGAGAACACAGCAGTCACCTTAAAAAAGTCAAGGAATGAGGAAGAGACCAATTCTGGAAAAAAACTACAATAAATGAAGATATCAAGTATTCATAAGAGGTTGGAGGTAGTTAAAAAAGTTATATAACTTTTTTTTTTTTGCATGTTTGCTATTAATTTCTGTAACAGGGCAACAAGTGTTACAAATAGAGAAGCAGCAGGTCAAATATGGTTTAATTTTAATAACGTTATTGACATTATAATAATGACTCATAACATTTTCAAAAGTCAGTTAAAGTGAAGCTACTTCTGCAAGAGTGCAAAGCTACCTGGGGAAAAAAAAAAGGAAACTGAAACCGAAACCAACCAAAACCAACACCAAAACTGCAGACTAAGATTACTTTTTAATCATTTACTATTAAATTCAAAAACCATAATCAGTGAGATTCTAGCTGGATCTGTTTTGGGCCAAGTACTGTGTAAGGTCAGTAATGACTTAGACAAAGGAATGATCCTTCAACATTGTTCAACAACAAGCCCACGTAGAATTCAACTTAACTGCATGATACACTGAATTCAGAATGCTCTTGACAAATACAAAAAATTATCTGTAGGAGAAAACACATCACAATGCACTTGTATTTACAAGTGTGAGGTTCTAAGGGGGAATAATAGTTCATAAAAATGTGGCAGCCATTCTGCCAAGAAGGGGTAAGAGGGGCAGCAGTCAATCAGAAGCTATTCATGAATGAGTATTGTTACACCAGATATGTACAAAAATGCAAACTGTATATTAGGAACATAAACTGATTTGCTTGTATGACACATTGAAGAATACCTCCTATTATATTTCTGTCTAGCACAGCAACCAGTAGCACTATGTCCTGTTCAAGCAAAACTGTTCCAAGAGAAGGCAGACCAACTGGAAAAAGTCCAGAGAAGAGCAGAGAAAATGCTCAGTTTTTTTGGTGGGAAAAAAAAACCCAAACAAACAAGGAAAAACACTGAAAGGATTGGGCTGCTCAGTCCAAAGAAGAGAAGGACAACTAAATACATGCAAATAGTCACCTATATAAGTTACCTATGAAGAGGTAAGGAGGGATCACATTTTCTATATGGAGTGGATAAAGTGATAGATTCGAACTATGACACTGAAGGTTATATAATTATTAAGAAAATCTTACTAACAATGAAGACAACTAGATACTTTTTCATTTCTGAGGTATAAGTGATTCTCCCTTGGAGCTTCAGAATATACAAGATGAGGTCTTGAGGTCTTTTCCAGTCTCCTTTTCTGTATGTCTGTGCTTCATCCTGTTGTATGAGTTAGAAGCCCCATCTTAACTCTCTAGAGAAATTACATTTATCAAAGTTTTCACGCAAAGTTATACAAAGCCAGACTATTGTTTCAATATAGTGTCTCAGAACCAATGAAGACACTACAGGGCTTAATATAGCCCAGGTTGGCACTATGTCACTCTTTTTCTAGTGTAAGTCTCATTAAGTCTTAAAAGAAATGTGAAGAGTTTTGGCAAAAGGACCGCTATCTTCCAGAGATAGTGTATCTGATATATTTGACAGTTGTGTGCTGCTCCTTCAAATGTCAGAAATGTGTTCTTTCCTCAGGATTCCTATGGAGTCTGCTAGAGAATTCTTCTTATCTGCTGAAGCCTGCCCTTCTGGTGAGCTACTCCACAAACTGGTAATAAGACATAGAGTTCATTTGCCTCGGGGGGCACTTATGATGAGAGATAAGAGATTGCCAGTGAATAGCAGTATTGGACATTATTATGTTCTTATAAGGCTTCAAAGATGAGAGAAGTTAATTTAAACCCTGTTAATTAGTAGCAACAGTATCTAAAACTAAGTAATAAGTAAGATAAACTGCAGTTTTCTCACACTTTCTACTCTTCCAAAGCAAAAGAAGCAATTGCAGCATCTGGATTTAGGATAACTAATGTAGCTTTGGAAAAGTATGTATGCATGAAGCTTTGTAATGATATCCTCTGGCAAGATTATCACTTTTTAAATTACTGATTCTTCATTGATTTTTTTCTCCCCACAGATCCTACTTCAGCTGGAATATAGTAATAAAATAAAATATGGCTTTTACTGGACCTTTTAACAGTTATTTAAGAAACAGGACATGTTATCATGCTGTGTAACCATAATATGGATTGTACAAACATAACTAACCAAATATACGACCAGCTGTGAGCCAGGGCTCACTCACCTTAATAGAATTAGGAACTTCTATAGAAATGAAAAAGAGGATGGCAGAAGCACTTTGTACAGTCACAGTTCAATGTCACTTATCTCTTGGCACCTATCTCTTGCTTTGTCCACAGAACACAGGGATAACTAAATGTATAAAGTATGCCTCTGTTTAACATTTATGTGCTTACACAGAAAATCTGACAATATTGTTCACAAAAATTTCTAACTAGTGAAGCACTCCTAGTACATGTGAAGCCTGAAGGGAAAAAAACCCAAAACAATCCTTTTCAATATTCTTTGTTTCAAATTTGTTTCAAAGATACTAAAACTATTAGTATCTTTCAAAAGATAAAAATTTAAAAAATATTAAAGCAGAGTGTGAAATAGAAGTAGAAGCAAGTAATTAATTTGTATTGTCAACTGGCATCGCCCATTCAAATGCTGAAAGAACTGAAAAAGAGGCAGCTTACTGCTTCCAAAATAGTGTAGGAGAACTCATCCTACAGGTAAAAGTGCTCAGAAGTTTAGAAGTTTTAGCATAGAAAGGTTTCCCAAACAGCTTTAGGTTCTGACACTTAAAAATGCAAAAGGAAAGAGTATTCTGGAAGTAATCTCAAAAACTAAATGACAAGAAAGACTAAAAGAAACTCGTGTGCACTTTTTTATTTTCTGTATGCTTTCATGAATAAGAGTCCTTGCACTAGTATAAAAATAGGTTAATACATCACACTAGTAGATAAAAATGTTCAGAAGTTTGAAAGGGCAAAAATTCTTGTGCCTTAAGAGGCTTTTCTAGGATTTTGCAGCTAAGAGTTTTAGATATCAAAGAAGAAGCTTAAGACATTAAATAAGATTGTGTTCTGGCTTTTAACTGAAACAGACAGGAAAAAATACAGAAAATGTAGAAGGTAATATCCCCTGAAGTTCAAATTAGTCTACAAATAACATCCACATTTCTTCCTTTAACTACTATTATCTAAAAAATGTTTAGCTTTTTATGTGATTTGTGCATCTCCTTTACACTGATAACTACACAAACATTTCCCAGATAATAGGACTTAGACACTGGATATCTAACTTAAATTCTGTGCATTTATTACTTTTTCACTGCAATTAAGGCAATATAATAAAAAAACTAACAAACCACATCAAAACATTAACAATTGCAAAACAAGTTCTGCATCTGAAGAGATCAGTTGGAAAGCCAGTTGCCCTTGACATCACTAAAGCCAGAACTCAATATCTTTTAAAACAAAAATAGAAAATACAAAAGCTTTGATTTGCTAGCAAAACACCTAAAAGATTTTTTAAAAAAATCATACTAATATTCTAAAAGGAATAGATAAAAAAGAAGTACCTCTACAACGTTTTCTGTCTCTGAAGCTTCCTGTCTGGATACAGCCTTGCACAACTCTGCCTGAAGTTTGCTTTCTGTTTACTTAATGCCTTAGCTCAAATAAAAAGAAGGTGTATCCTTGAATACTATACGTACAGCATGACACATTGTGGTCTTTCTTCAGCAAGAGAGCTTGAATTGTTTTCTTAGAAATATTAGACCCTAGAAAAAATAAGAGAAAATACTTGGGCTGAGTGACCTTTACCACCATTTTTAACATTTTCTTTGATTTTACATATATTCCTATTCCTGTACTATGCAACCTTTAAATCTCTACTTCAAAAAGGGTCTGATTCAAAGCTCCCAGAAATCAGTCTGAGATATTTCAGACACTGATGTCAAATACAGTAATTTCTACCTATTCTGGAGTGGTTTGCAATCTTTTTATCTTCTAGCCTGTTTGGGTGCC